ACCAGCTGGAGAGCACCGCTGTCATTTGCATTCATTACTGTTAGTTTACATTGAGTATGACTTGACTGGATCTCTTTTAACATGAATTACAATGTCTAGTCAGTCCTTGGTCTTTAAAGGTGCTTTGCATTTATGTTTTGCGGTCTCAGAAAGGGCTAGCGAGATACCATCTTATTATATCATATTATGATTGTTTTGAGAAAGTGTTGTCATCCGAGATTTATTATTATGGCTCGCTAGTTGATTATGCCATTGATATGAGTAAACTTGAGACCTATGCGTTATTGTGAATGTGGTTAGTTATAATATTTGCTGAAAACTTGAATGTCGGCTTTACATATTTACAACAACAAGAGCAAACAGAGTTTGTAAAAGTTTTTCTTTATCACTTTCAGTTTGTCAACTGAATTGCTTGAGGACAAGCAAAGGTTTAGGCTTGGGGGAGTTGATACGTCTCCAACGTATCTACTTTTCCAAACGCTTTTGCCCTTGTTTTGGACTCTAATTTGCATGATTTGAATGGAACTAACCCGGACTGATGCTGTTTTCAGCAGAATGACCATGGTGTTATTTATGTGCAGGAGTAAACATTCTCAGAATGACCTGAAACTTCACGGGGCCACTTTTCAGAAAATAAGAAAAATACCTGCAAAAGATGAAGGCCAGGGGGCCCACCACTTCTCCACGAAGGTGGGGGCGCGCCTACCCCCTAGGGCGTGCCCCCTACCTCGTGCCCCCCTGTTGCCTCTCCGACTCCAACTCCAACTCCATATATTGAGTTTCGGGGAGAGAAAAATTAGAGAGAAGAAATCATCGCGTTTTACAATACGGAGCCGCCGCCAAGCCCTAAAACCTCTCGGGAGGGCTGATCTGGAGTCCGTTCGGGGCTCCGGAGAGGGGAATCCGTCGCCATCGTCATCATCAACCATCCTCCACCACCAATTTCATGATGCTCACTGCCGTGTGTGAGTAATTCCATCGTAGGCTTGCTGGATGGTGATGGGTTGGATGGGATCTATCATGTAATCGAGTTAGTTTTGTTAGGGTTTGATCCCTAGTGTCCACTATGTTCTAAGATTGATGTTGCTATGACTTTGCTATGCTTAATGCTTGTCACTAGGGCCCGAGTGCCATGATTTCAGATCTGAACCTATTATGTTTTCATCTATATATGAGTGTTCTTGATCCTATCTTGCAAGTCTATAGTCACCTATTATGTGTTATGATCCGTTAACCCCGAAGTGACAATAATCGGGATACTTACCGGTGATGACCGTAGTTTGAGGAGTTCATGTATTCACTATGTTTTAATGCTTTGTTCCGGTACTCTATTAAAAGGAGGCCTTAATATCCCTTAGTTTCCATAAGGACCCCGCTGCCACGGGAGGGTAGGACAAAAGATGTCATGCAAGTTCTTTTCCATAAGCACGTATGACTATATTCGGAATACATGCCTACATTATATCAATGAACCGGAGCTAGTTCTGTGTCACCCTAGGTTATGACTGTTACATGATGAACCGCATCCGGCATAATTCTCTATCACCGATCCATTGCCTACGAGCTTTTCATATATTGTTCTTCGCTTATTTACTTTTCCGTTGCTATTGCTATCATCACTACAAAATACCAAAAACACTACTTTTACTATTGTTACCTTTTGCTACTGTTATCACCACTATCATATTACTTTGCTACTAAACACTTTGTTGCAGATATTAAGTTTCCAGGTGTGGTTGAATTGACAACTCAGCTGCTAATACTTGAGAATATTCTTTGGCTCCCCTTGTGTCGAATCAATAAATTTGGGTTGAATACTCTACCCTCGAAAACTGTTGCGATCCCTTATACTTGTGGGTTATCAGCGCCCCCCCCCCTCGTGGACAGGGTGTGGGCCCCCTGGCGTGGATCTTTCTTCCAGTATTTTTTATATATTCTAAAATAATTCAACATTAATTTCCAGGTCATCTCGAGAACTTTTATTTCTGCACAAAAATAACACCATGGCAATTCTGCTGAAAACAATGTCAGTCCGGGTTAGTTCCATTCAAATCATGCAAGTTAGAGTCCAAAACAAGGGCAAAAGTGTTTGGAAAAGTAGATACGACGGAGACGTATCAACCCACACCCCCTGGCGCGCGGCGGTGCCTAGTGGGCACCCCATAAGTCGGTTGGGGCTCTTCTTCAGCCGCAAGGAAGCTTATATCCGAAAAAAAATCGTGTTAAAATTCTAGCGTGATCAGATTTATGGATCTTCGGATATTTAAGAAACGATGAAAGGCCAGAAAACAGGAACGCGAAACAAAAGAGAACAGAGAGATAGATCCAATCATGGACTAGAGGGAAAACTCCCCTCCCATCTAGGGGTGGAGGCCATGGAAGAAGAAGAAGGGGGGCTCTCTCCCCCTCTCTCCCGGTGGCGCCGGAGTGCCACCGGGGCAAGGATTGTGACGGCGATCTACACCAACAACATTGCTACCATCAACACCAACTTTCTCCCCCTCTATGAAGTGGTGTAATCTCTCTATTCCCGCTGCAATTATTTACTTAAAGTTGGTGCTCAACAATATATATTATTATCCAATGATATGTGGTTATCCTATGATGTTTGAGTAGATGTGTTTTGTCCTATGGGTTAATTGATGATTGTGATTGGTTTGAGTTGTATATTTTATTTTGGTGTTGTCCTATGGTGCCCTCTATGTCGCGCAAACGTGAGGGATCCCCGTTGTAGGGTGTTGCAATACGTTCATGATTCTCTTATAGTGGGTGGGGAGAGTGACATAAACCTATACCCGAGTATGGGGGTTGTTGCGTATGGGATAAAGAGGACTTGATACTTAATGTTATGGTTGGATTTTACCTTAATCATCTTTGGTAGTTGCGGATGCTTGCTAGAGTTTCAATCATAAGTGCATATGATCCAAGTACAGAAAGTATGTTAGCTCATGCTTCTCCTTCATATAAAATTGCAATAATGATTACTGGTCTAGTTATCAATTGCCTAGGGACAAATAACTTTCTTGTGTGACAAAAGCTTTCTACTAAACTACTAAATTTATTATCTTGTAATTTATTCATAGTTTTATTCTCGCAAAGTACTTTCTAGTTTTATTCTTGTTCTAGGTAAAGCAAACGTTAAGTGTGCATAGAGTTGTATCAGTGGTCGATAGAACTTGAGAGAATATGAATCCTACCTTTAGCTCTTCGTTGGGTTCGACACTCTTATTTATCGAAAAAGCTACAGTTGATCCTCTATACTTGTGGGTTATCACTCGACCATGAAGGATGAGGTGTTGTGCGATGCGTGGTTGACCGTATCCATGGATTTCGTAGGCAGGAGTAGAGGAGGGGTCCTTTTGGGAGCAAGTGCATGAAAAGTCTCACGCACAAAAACACATTGCGCCCTATGACATGTACATCATTCAACCACACAACGTGAGGTCGTTGTCGTATTGCTAGCACGCAATCGAGATCAGCGTCACCAAGTTTTACAACATGGTTCGTCAGCTCGAGGCAAGGTGGCCATTGCACGCGGCAGAGGACGAGATTGTAAGTTTTTCTTCCTCTTGCTTAACTTGTTGATTGATACATTCACTCAATGTTGGTCTACACATTATATGTAGCCTGCACGCGCTGCGGTGGTGTACCACGGGATAGAGGGACGGCCATTTACGTGCACACACTGTTGGATGAAGATGAAAGGGGAGTTTGTGTGGAACGATATGATCCGTTCATGAAAAACTTGTTGGACATACGAGATCTTGTTGTACTAGATTTAATCTGCATGGTATGTATGAACGATTTATGCTATTTACTATCCGAACTTTGATGAATATCATCTAGTTTACATGAATTTCGTCAGATTTATTAATATGGATTGAAATGTATGCGGCTAGCGTTAAATGACGTTTTTCCACATTTGTGTCTGCAGAACGAATGCGGGAGGAAATTTACATATCTCCCGTTGGAGATGCTAAGGAAAACAAATGCTGATCGGCCGTCGAAGGTGCTGACCAAGACAAGCAAAGTCAAGAACGGACTCGTGTGTGGACTAGTTAGGTCGGCACCTCCGGAAAAAGAAGGGACCACGTGCGGGGTGCATGCTTGGCACCCAAGGAATGCCTGCCGTCCGTTCTTGAGCCCACACGTGCAATGGGCCCTCGAGAATAGCTGGACGAATTTTCTCTGCTGATTGCACCTCTTCTTTTTTTTTTTGAACTCCTGATTGCACCTTCTTGGTGACTTGGATGTGAAGCAGGCATAGTAGTAGAGCGGAACAAAACGCCTCGTGTTCTTTAACCGTGCCAGGTGTCTGGATAGTGTGGTCGAAACGTTGTGCCCAAGTTGCTGCATCAGCGTGTGTGCTGACGTCTGTACAGCCAACCTTCGCCCGGCCAAAATGTCCGTCGCCCATCCTCCACGGTCGATGCAATTTTTATTTTTTTGAACACTGGTGCCAGCGAGCACCCCAAAAGAAACGTATAGATTTTTAACGTTTTTCACCTCTTCAAAATCATGAACTTGTCATTTTTATGTAGCTCACATGTTAACTTATTTCATCATCAGACTTTACACCATATAGTATACATCCATATTACCATGCAGGATTTCTTTTGCTAGCTTTTTTTTGAAACCTCAAAACATAGTTTTCAAACTATTCAAAATAAAGTGCTCACTGGCACTGTGCTCCAAAAATGCACGCTCATGAATACATCCATATTTGTTTTTTGACGTTTTCATACTACACTGTCAAATCAAAAAGTAAAACGTGGTGTGACCTTTTCTTTTTTTCCAAGAGTAATTATCTGTGAACACCAAAGAGCCCAACTAGCTTAGCGCACCTCAGGCCACAAGATTAACGCAATCCATCCGACTGACTATGCTGACAAAGCACAAAAGTACGATATGAATCTTGAATTGTCGCACCTACAGCAGCAAGAGTTGTGAACTTTCCCATAATTAATCACATGCCGTAACAATAGTCCGTGTAATTTTCCATGGCAAACTTTCCCGGTCGCTTCCAGCTCCGGAGCACCCAATCAGCCCAACAGTCAAAGGCACTCCGGGCGGCCCGCAAGATGCGTATATATAGTGCCTCCACCACCCCCGGGGACAGGAACTACACACAGCGCAGTGCGGCCGGGCTCGTCGTTGGGCTCATCAACAAAGCAAGTAGCAGCCAGGAAATGGACGCGACAGCAGAAGCTAGTAGTGGAGAAGGAGCACGCCACGCCCACGGCCCAAAAGATGACCGGCCGGAGAAGAAGGTGCCGTTGCTCGGCATGTTCAGGTACGCCGACCGCCTCGACATGCTGCTCATGGTGGTCGGTTCGCTCGGGGCGGTGGGCAACGGCGTGTCGGAGCCCCTCATCTCGGTCCTCTTTGGAGACGTCATCAACTCCTTCGGCGAGAGCACGACCAGCACCGTCCTCCGTGCTGTCACCAAGGTGCGCCACGGCTTATGGTGATCACTTAACTTGAAGAATGGCTAGTTGAGTTAACAGAGAATATTCTTTTTATCTCCAGGTTGTTCTCAACTTCATATATTTGGGCATTGGGACAACAGTTGCTGCCTTTCTTCGTAAGTGGAACTTCCATTCAATTCTTGGAATGCATGTTTTCTGTCAATGAAACCTTAGATTAGATGTCAAGCAATAGTACACACAAGAAGATAGTTACACATTCAGCGGAAATCCGTTGGTGCGTCTTTTTTTTTTTGAAATGTCAAAAATATTCCAACAAAAATTTACTAGTATATATTTTTTTGTTTAATATTCATGCAGGAGTGCGTGCTCCCAGGAGCCAAAACGCCATTCTCACATTCAGTATATACCATTTTCAAATAAACTGAACTGCAGAGGACAATTAACAAGGTTATTTAATATCACATGGAAACCAACTTCTCCATGAAAATTCTATGGGCAGAGCTGGTACTCTATAAACTTGTCAATTTTCAGTACCAACTCAACTGCATTTCCTTTCGCAAAAAAAGAGAGAGAGAGAACTCAACTGCATTTCAAAGATATAAAATTGGCCAGTAGTGATCAATGAATGTGCAATCATATAGCGCTGCGTTTGCGTTTAGTTAGCTGTGGATGCCGCCACCTTCTCAGCGTCGTCTTAATAAAAAATGACACACAAATTTGTTCTAGCTAAGGAACATGCAGATATAATGATCATAACAGAGCAATCGTCATCAGTTATCATGTATTCACTCCATGAGAAGTACCAATTGAATTCCTAATAATTGGATATGTTTAGTTAAATTATATGCTAATGGTAGAGATGTTAGTAAAAAAGGCTCACCCTTCATTTTCTTCCAGAGGTGGCATGCTGGACTATGGCAGGAGAAAGGCAATCAGCCCGTATCCGTTCTTTGTACCTGAAATCTGTTCTGAGACAGGATATTGCATTCTTCGACACAGAAATGACAACTGGTGAAGCAGTTTCTAGAATGTCTAGCGATACGGTTATAATTCAAGATGCTCTTGGTGAGAAGGTAATACTTCCTTTGTACTCCCTATCTAGAACTAAAATACATCTAGATACATCCATTTCTGCGACGAGTAATTCGGAACGGAGGGAGTAGTACCAAATAAAGAAGAATTGCAATATTTTTCATCACATTGCAAAGTGCGCACAGACCCGCAGGCACGAGTATCAGTATTTTTTATTGATACAACATAAGCTTTTGTGTTACTTACCTAAGTGTATTTCATAGTTCGTACATTCTATGCAGCCCACCTAGTGCTGCCGGTGCTGACATTCGTGCATTCTGATTTACAGGCAGGGAAGCTTGTGCAACTCGCATCTGCCTTCTTTGGGGGTTTTATCATAGCATTCACAAAAGGCTGGCTCCTAACTCTTGTCATGCTAACATCACTACCACTAATTGCTATCGCTGGTGCAGTGTCTGCACAGCTGCTAACCCGGGTTTCCAGCAAGCGACTAACATCGTATAGTGATGCTGCAGACACAGTTGAACAGACAATTGGATCTATTCGAACAGTGAGTTCAAATTATATCAGTTATTCATCAATTATCTCAGTTCATATAAATTGTGGTAAACATTAATTTAGCAACACTCATGTAAACAGGTTGTGTCCTTCAATGGCGAGAAGAAAGCCATAGAAATGTACAATAAATTCATAAAAAATGCATACAAGACTGTTGTTGAGGAAGGCATTGTCAATGGGTTTGGCATGGGCTCTGTCTTCTGCATCTTATTTAGCAGTTATGGTCTAGCCTTCTGGTATGGTGGAAAGCTGATCATTGACAAAGGTTATACCGGAGGGAAGGTCCTCACTATATTGTTTGCCGTACTGACTGGCGCAACGTGAGTTTCTGAAATCTTTACATTGCAAATACCTTTGCTGAGAAGTAGTAATATTTATTGTATATATACATTATACACCAAAGTTTAAAATTCAAGATAACCCTTTCTCTTACGGATGACCTGCGAATACATATTTTTCCGTAAATTATATAAGGAACTTTACATGGCAGTTTGATGTTCCTTTTAAGGAGTGTTCAGAGATTACCTTTAGATAGCTAATCTTGTTTACTTATTTATGTTTAGTTGTAAATAATGTAAATTGGTAATGCTTGAGCTCAAGGCTAATAATTGCTTTATAAATACAAATAGCCCACGAGATTCAAGGTGACTCCTTCCCTTTGAGGTAAAAGAAATTCAACAATAATCCTAAAAAAATGTACCATAAATTTAGAAGAAAAATAGAATGATCGAAATTGCTATTTATTTTGGATCAGATTATATATGAAAAAAAAAGTCTTTCTAAAAAGATCAACCCAATCGACCACTGGAAGTACAATTTTGAAACAGGTGTAAATTGCAATTATTGCAACCTCACAGCAGGATCCCATGAATCCCGAGAAAGCTCTAACAGCAATCGCTAGATATTGTCGAAGCTACTTCAGATTCAATCATTATGTTTTAAGTATGGAATTATCATTACTCTAGTGTTGGTGAGAACTAAAACATTCCGTCAAACAGTAAATATGACAAGCTTATATATTGCAGATAGCACTATCAAATTCTAGCAAACAAATCAACTACACTATTTATACTAAGTATGAACAATAATCCTACTTAAAAAAATAAGTTAAATGAAATTGTAAAAGTTATACATAGTATCATTAGAATTGTAAAACGAAGACAAGTAAAGGCAGAGAGAAATTTAAGCTTCGAAGAAGTATTCACCTGGAAGTTACAAATACGTTGCATGTGATATGCGTAAATTTAATTTAGTAATGCTCTGTACCTACATGCCACTTATCTAAGTTCAATAAACTTTTCGACCTACAACACATGAGCAGATGAACTTGAATCAAATCAAATCACTAGTTGGTTTACATTTTTCAGTAGATGAGTATAATTCATCGGATAACCAGCTTGCAAACCCTCCACAGGACGCTAATTATTTTATTTACATTGCTCTATCTTCATCTTATGTTACCTCAGCAAAGCATACATATGTGAAGGACTAGTAGTTTAAACTGTATTTCATGCCAGGAAATAGAAAAGGCGACCATTGCATATGGTATGTTAATGTCCTAAGCCTGGCACTTACAATTTTTTGTAACAGTTCATTAGGTAATGCAACACCATCAATTTCTGCAATTGCTGAAGGTCAATCTGCAGCATACAGACTATTCGAAACGATTGAGAGGAAGCCTGAAATAGATTCAGATGATACCAGCGGCATGATCATGGAAAATATCAAGGGTGATGTTGAACTAAAGGATGTGTGCTTTCGCTACCCTGCAAGACCCGGGCAGTTAATATTAGATGGATTGTCATTACAAGTAGCCAGTGGAACAACAATGGCCATAGTTGGAGAGAGTGGAAGTGGCAAGTCAACTGTTGTCAGCCTAGTTGAAAGATTCTACGATGCACAGGCTGGAGAAGTTTTGATAGATGGAGTCAACATCAAGAATCTGAATCTTGATTGGATAAGAGGGAAGATCGGCCTTGTTAGCCAAGAACCATTGCTGTTTATGACCTCCATTAAAGATAACATAATCTATGGTAAAGAAGAGGCAACACTTGAAGAGATCAAGAGAGCAGCCGAGCTTGCAAATGCAGCAAACTTCATCGACAAGTTACCAAATGTACGTAAATAAGATTGCATGCTTCAAATGAATTCTTGAACTTTAAATTAACAACATTTTAATTTCATACCAGGGCTACGATACATTGGTTGGTCAACGTGGCACTCTGCTTTCTGGGGGCCAAAAACAAAGAATTGCAATTGCAAGAGCCATCCTTAAAGATCCAAAAATCCTTTTGCTAGATGAAGCAACAAGTGCATTGGATGTAGAATCTGAGAGGATAGTTCAGGAGGCACTCAATAGGATAATGGTACAAAGAACCACACTCGTCGTTGCCCATCGTTTGAGCACTGTAAGGAATGTTGACTGCATCACAGTTGTTCATCAAGGGAAAATAGTGGAACAAGGTTAGAATCTCTTGAATATACATTATTTTTCCCATTCTAGATATATCTATTGTCAACCTATAATGAATCATTCACCCCACAAACATATCCTATGTGTACAGGTCCTCATCATGCATTAATGAAGGATCCCAATGGAGCTTACTCACAGCTTATTAGGCTACAAGAAACTCGTGGTGATGAAAGACGTAAAATACAGGATTCTGGAGTGCCCAATTCCTTATCAAAAAGCACTAGTTTGTCAAATAGACGGTCAATGACTAAAGATTCTTTTGGCAACAGCAACAGATACTCCTTCAAGAACCCCTTAGGATTATCAGTTGAGTTGCATGAGGATGAAATCACAGGTGAACAGAACAAAGACGACCTTTCCAATGGGAAGACCCTTCAGAAAGCACCAATTGGACGTCTTTTTTATCTTAACAAGCCGGAGGTACCATTTCTTCTGCTCGGTGCTATAGCAGCATCGGCGCATGGAGTCATTTTCCCATTGTTTGGCATACTAATGTCTGGCGTGATAAAATCATTCTACGAGCCACCAGATAAGCTGCGGAAAGATTCTAGCTTTTGGGCATTGATATCTGTAGTTCTGGGGTTTGCATCATTCATTGCAATCCCAGCAGAGTACCTTTTGTTTGGAATTGCTGGTGGCAAGCTTATAGAGCGTGTTCGTACTCTGTCATTTCAAAATATTGTTCATCAGGAAGTTGCTTGGTTCGATAATCCCTCAAATTCCAGGTAACATATTCAAATGGTCTCAATTACTTTATCTTCTCATACATAGATCTACACAGATGCTAAGATTCTGCTTTCACTTACAGTGGTGCACTTGGTACACGACTCTCAGTTGATGCATTAAATGTTCGACGCTTAGTAGGAGATAACCTGGGCCTTATAGTGCAGTCTACAGCTGCACTAATCACTGGCTTTGTCATAGCATTTACGGCGGACTGGAGGCTTGCACTGATTATCACTTGTGTCATTCCTTTAGTGGGTGCACAGGGTTATGCTCAAGTGAAGTTCTTGAAAGGGTTTAGTGAAGAAGCTAAGGTAACGTATAACAACTCTAAAATTTACTTCCTGTTTGATTCAGGATGAGCAATCCTAAGGACCCTGGAATCGACTATCACAATAATATATTCAATTATTGTGCAGGAGATGTATGAAGATGCAAGTCAGGTTGCAACTGATGCTGTTGGTAGTATCAGAACTATAGCATCTTTCTGTGCAGAGAAAAGAGTGGTTACAACGTATAACAAGAAATGTGAAGCTTTAAGGAAACAGGGAATTCGAAGTGGAATCGTTGGAGGGCTTGGTTTTGGTTTCTCATTCTTAGTGTTGTATCTTACATATGCTCTATGTTTCTATGTTGGTGCACAGTTTGTACGTCAGGGAAAAACTACTTTTGCAGATGTTTTCAAAGTAAGAGATCCTAAATCATTTCGAGTTACAGTTTCTGTATGGGTATCAACTTTTAATAATCAGTCACAAATGCATTGGATGTTTTTCAGGTTTTCTTTGCCTTGGTTTTGGCAGCTGTTGGGGTTTCGCAGGCAAGTGCATTGGCATCTAATGCAACAAAGGCAAGGGATTCAGCCATTTCTGTTTTCAGTATTCTAGACAGGAAGTCGAAAATTGACACAAGTAACGACGAGGGCCTGGTATTGGAAAATGTCACTGGCGACATTCATTTCAGTAACGTCAGTTTCAAGTACCCATCACGCCCTGATGTCCAAATATTCAGTGACTTCACCTTGCACATTCCTTCCAGAAAGGTATGATTTGCATCCTTTAATAGTCTTGTTTATCATTGTTGCACCCAATTGTTTTCCATTCAGATAACCAACTTACAGTACCACCTCATAAAACCAAGAATAATACTTGAAAACAGGTGATGCATCTAGTTACAGTGTTACAATATAAGAAGCTTTCAGCTGATTTATTTCACATATGATCATTCAGAACCACAAAAACTGCTATGTTGACACTTTTTCCTTCCTTTTTCAGACCATAGCACTAGTTGGAGAAAGTGGTAGTGGCAAGTCCACTATAATTGCTTTACTGGAACGCTTCTATGATCCTGATTCTGGTAGAATCTCAGTAGATGGAGTCGAAATTAAGAGCTTGAGAATTAGCTGGTTGAGGGATCAGATGGGGCTGGTAGGCCAGGAGCCAGTACTTTTCAATGACACAATCCGTGCAAACATAACATATGGGAAACACGGAGAAGTGACAGAGGAAGAAGTCACAGCTGTGGCCAAGGCAGCAAATGCTCATGAGTTCATATCAAGCTTGCCACAGGGATACGACACTCTGGTTGGCGAGAAAGGCGTGCAACTATCTGGTGGACAGAAGCAGAGGGTAGCTATCGCAAGGGCCATTATAAAGGACCCGAAGATACTACTACTTGATGAGGCAACCAGTGCCCTGGATGCGGAATCAGAGCGCATTGTTCAAGATGCATTGGATCGAGTCATGGTGAGCAGGACCACCATAGTGGTGGCTCACCGCCTCTCCACAATAAAAGGGGCTGATATGATTGCAGTCCTCAAGGAAGGCAAAATTGCAGAAAAGGGAAAGCATGAGGCCCTGATGCGAATCAAGGGTGGAGTCTATGCTTCACTAGTAGAACTCCGCTCAAATTCCGAGTAGAATTGTGTATTATTTGACTTTTTTTCTTTTTTTCTTACTGCATTTGTTTGTTCCTAGTACAATTATTTCACCATGCAATACAATGATTTTTTATTTGAGAAGTGAATGCAAGAGGTTAGCGGTTTGTTGCAAGGAAGACCTATGAGCATGGTAAGTAATGAGAATAACAACTATGTGTGTAGCAACTGATAATACAGAAGATTAGACCAACATCATTAAATAGTTGTCTTTAAATACTAACATGCATCAATATGATAGAAGGAAGAAGAGACAGGATTTCTACCTCCGTCCCTAAAGAAATCGAGGTCTGAGGTGCTACTTCACAAAAACTGCAGGTTCGACGCAAACGACTCGCACGTAGCATTACAGATAGTCTTCTCGCATACTCAAGCAAATATCATTTGACTACAAACACATACAAGAAGTGGCGAACGCAGAGGAAAATGGAGGGTGGGCTCAAAGTTAATGGTGACTAAACTAAATCGGCATCATCATAGAAAAAATAGTCTCATGTATTCTGAATCCACACAACAATACATCAGTACAAGAGAAACAACAATAAAAAGGGAAATGTATTCCCAAGTGCCCAGCCGCAAGTTTGAAATTACCGCAATTATTAGTACTATAACATGCATCAATATAAGAAAGGAGAAAAGGATCAAAGATCCCAGGGTGTAACACAGAATGTGGCCTCACAGACTCAGCAAAACAGACAAGAAAGAAGAAAGGAGAAAGGAGGATAAACACTATCTAAAAGCCTCTGAAAAGATTTGCTGCTTTGGCTAGAGATGAGCTGAATCTTTTCAGAGAGGCTTTGTAATTGCTGCTTTGGCTAGAGATGGGCTGAATCTTTCCAGAGAGGCCTTTAGATAGTGTAACTTTGGCTAGAGATGAGCTGAATCTTTTCAGAGAGACTTTTAGATAGTGTAATTGCTGCTTTGGCTAGAGATGAGCTGAATCTTTTCAGAGAGGCTTTTAGATAGTGTTTACCCTCCTTTCTCCTTTTAAATAGCTTTGTTTCGCCCATTCAACAAATACGCACTTTCCGATTCACTTCTAAGTTCAGAGGCATAATCTTCTATTCTTACATTGGTATTCTAAGCCCGGGATCGACTAGCAGTTCATAAACTACCTATTAGTGTTAGTCACTTAGCAAAATAGTTTGAGATTTAGAGATATACCTGTGGCGGCTTGGCCCTCCAGCGGCCGATGTGGAGATGCGTGCACCCAGATGCCCAGGTCGCGGACCGGTCGGCCGGCCGGGGAGCTCCTGCGGGCTGAGGTCCTGCCCTGCCTTGGCGCCCGGCTCCCCAGCCCCCCGCGGGCTGCCGCTTGCGCTAGCCGCAAAGGTGTTTGCAGACGCGGTCCTGTGTTTTTTTTTCTCCCTGTGTGTGCGTGGGAAGCTGCAGACTGCAGAACGGAAGGAGACGACACGGCGAATGGGCCGTAGTAGATGGGCAAGTAGCTGGGCCGGCTAGAATAGTAGTAGTACAATGTTTTTTATTTTGAAATATGTCGCAAAAGTATTATTATTTTGTGCTTTAGCAAAACTGTTTTTTGAAATAAGTTCATATTTCAACGACAAAATGTACCAAAATTTATTGGTGCTCGTTGCAACAAAATGTTGATTAACCGCACAGAAAGTGTACTGATGGGCCAGCCAATTAGCTAGCGAGATTGGTGCTAGAGGATTCCGGTTTTAGGAAGGTTACAGCTTTGGGATTTTTTGGCTCAAAAAAATGCGGCTTTGGTTTTCCCGGCCTTTAGGAACCTTTTGAAAGGTTCTTTTTTGGTTTTTCTGTTTATTCCATATCAGTTTTTTTTTGTTTTTTTGTGCTTTTCTTACCTTTTTATTTTTTTGCCTTTTCTTTTCCCTTTTAAAATGTTTATATTTTTGCCAAATGTTCACAAAAAATAAAAATATTCTAGACTTAAAAATATAGATAGTTTTTTTAAAAAATATTCATCTATAAAAAATATTTTATTTAAAAAATCAAATAATTTTGGCTTTTTGAAATACCAATTGAAAAAATGACCAAAAATAATAAAGTAGAGAAAAAAGGCTAAAAACTAGTACAAAAAGCTCCCTCGCTTAGTTATTGTCTCATGTGGGCTAGGTTGGATCAATTAGATGGAATAGATGGGTTGAAATGCCAAGAATTTTTGTCACTTAATATACAAATATGCGTTGTGATGTATTAATGAGCTTAATGAGCTAATTATGAAACTTGCTCATTAAGGTCGCTAAGTTTAATGAGTTGAAACTTATGTTTGACTCTATTCAAGAGCGAAAGAGGAGATTAATGAGTCGAGCTATCAAGTGTTCATTAAACTCGTCAGCTACGAGTTTTTGGTCTGATCCGGCTGAGACCAACCACGTACAGCACGAACGTGCCGACCAGTACACCACTACAGCTCTTGTGTCTAAGCAGAGCCAGATTGAGGCCCTGTTTGGTTCATAAGTCCTAGGACTTTTTTTAGTCCCAAGTCCGTAAAAAGTCCCTACCTGTTTGGTTACTGGTACTTATAAGTCTCTATAAGACCATATTACAACTATAAGTCCCTCCTTGAGAGTCTTATTTCATAAGTCCCAAATGCCCACTTTAAGTCCCTATAAGTCCCTCCTGTTTGGTTTAGATGGGACTTATAGGGACTTATTTAAGTCCCTAGACCAATAAGTCCCTGAAAACAAACACCCTCTGACACAGAGCCAGATTTACTTCTAATCTTATAGCTTCAGACACATCCTGGCCGGTCGATGATCAGCTTTGCTGAAGTTGGCTTCCAGACCGACCGGACTTTTTCAGCTGTTTCGTTTCTTTACGTGTGTTTTCTGTTTTGTTTTTATCTTCTTTTCAGATATTTGGTTTTCTTCATATTCTTTTATTTTTGCACACTTCTATTTTTATGTAGGTTTTGCAATATATGGTAAACCTTTTTTTAATATATGGTGAACATATTTTTCAAATACATACTGAACTTTTTACCATACGTTGAAGATTTCAGAAGTACACTCTGAAAATTATCATATACATGCACACTGAACATGATAATATAATGTCGACCATTTTTTATGTACATTGAACATTTTTTAATATGCAATGAACTTTTTAAATTAGACGACGAACATTTTTTTGATACACACTAAACATTGTTTTAATATATGGTTAATTTTTAATATATACTGGACTTTTTTATAAAACACACACGGAACATATTTTTTTCGAGCAACCGGCAAGAGCTCTGCCTTTTCATTAAGAAAAATAGAATTGACCAGTTTATACGGGAAACTAGCCAAAAACCGAATACTGAACACATTTTCTAAAATATATTTTCTATTTTTAATAGGTTTTAAAAATATCCAGCTTCTAAAAAACAATAACCGTTTTTGGGTTAAAAATCGACTAAAAATTGTATTGAGTTATCTAATCAAACTGCATTTGCAAACAGTTGTTGTTAGATGACATATTAAACTATTTAATGTTGAAACCATATGACAACCAACAAAGTATGTCCAAACTATTAGAACTAGTTTCGTGAGAGCGTTAAAAGGCTATGAGGTTTTTTCGAAGGATGAAAGGGTCCATCTATCTCAGCTTTGACAAGAATACTGGAGTAGTCTAGTGGTTAGCAAGCGCGCCAGCAAATGCTTGGTCCCTCTTTTGCGTAGCGCGCACTTTTTTGTTGTTGCTTTTAGCTATGTATCCGACTCACAAGAACTCTTAGAGAGAGAGGGAGGGAGTGCGAGAGAGAATGGTGAGGAATTTTCAGAGGACGTGGATCAAGGAGAGAGCCGCCGGAGCAGCTTCGGAGCACCAGTTTGAGCGACGAGGCAAATCAGAGTAGATTGGTCAAAAATCGGCAAGATGTACCTAAACACTTACCCGACGCCATCCTCGGATTATAGATGTTGGATCCCCGTTAATCGCCGGGCCCAAGAATCTGTCAAAAATATGATCCTACCAAGTTTAAAAACTGTAGAACTATACCGGCAAGTGGCACTGATAAGTTTTAACAACTTCCTCCAATTATTGTTAAGATGCAAAATTTGCAATTCATACACGTGCATATCTTGTTATGAAAGTTTGTGTGAGTGTGTGAGAGAAAGAGATGGATTTTGCTGCCACCAGGATCTCATCATCGCCTCACAACCTTTGGCCCTTAAAAAGCATCTGTTTCATGCCTCAATCATTTGGCCACACCACAGCTACGAGATTAGGTTGTGGTTTGCTTTTCTTTTCTTTCTTGGAAAGAGGTGCACATGCGAATACAACTAGAAAAACCAGAGCCTGTATTTTTTTCTCTCTAACAACTGACAACTTGACAAATGACAACAACGTTTCGAGAGGAAACCACTTCCTTACACAATGTTTTCTTATGGTTAGACCAACTTGCTTTGGAAGGGTTTGGTTTGGTTTGGTGCTGGCTAGCTGCAGACCTGTCACCTACCGTTGCAAGAGATTATTAGAGGGAAACATGGGGATTGATTTCTTTTCTGATATACGGGTGATTCGTCTGGAGCCCATCGATCGCCCCGGCATATGCAGCAGCGACGGCCGGTTTGTAGCATCTCGTCCCCGTGGCATAAGTCACAGCCCGACTCAACTCGTTCACGATATATGAAATGTCTGCGAGGCGTGACAATGGCGAGGCGAGCGACGAAGAAGGAGCACGCGTATATATCATTTCTCAAGCTCTTGGTAGCATGTAAAGAAACCAATATTATATGTTGGTTCAATATACCCTTCACAGTTGGGACTACCAAACTTTCCACACTCTTTTATCATGCATAAATGAGCCATACATGCCTCTGATTTTTTCAGGAATTATTGAAAATAATAAACGAGCTAAACGCTAATAACTTCAACATGCGCATCCCGGCTTGCAGCAGCATAGTGACGTCCACCATCACCATGTCTACTTGGTCTTTTTGATGTCGTTAAATTACTATTTTTATTTTTCTTCAAATTTAATTTATTGTAGAACCGGTTGAAATTGGATGAACCGTTACAATACTTATTTGCTTGGTTGGTCACACATAATAGAATTTGGACCGTAGATAGCGCCGTGGGTGGCCAAACTGCGACCGATGCCCGCTGTGCAATCAGATGCGCGAGTCGGCAGCCCACCTCCTCTTCAGATGCCGTTTCTCCATGCGTGTTTGGAATGATGTGATCTCGTGGCTTGATCTGCATGTCAGCACCGCGTCTTGGCACCAATTAATTCGACATAGTTAAATCTTGGTGGGAAGGCGACCTCACCAACAATGCTCAGCCAATGATAGCTCTAGCCTCATTGCTTCATCTTGTTAGTTGGGAGATTTGGAAGGAGCAAAATGCACACGTATGCAGGGCCAAGGCGTCGATTGTGCGCATCATCAAGGACGGAGCTTGTATCTGGGCCTTAGCCGGGGCTAAGCGGCTGTGTAATATTATGCCGAGAGAGTAGCTATATGTTTTGCTTCGGCTGTTGCGGGTTCTGTCCCTCAAACTTTTTTTCTTAATCAATAAAAATGGCAAATCTTTTGCCTCGTTTAAAAAAAACAATACTTATTTGCTTTCGGGGATGATCCATCATTTTTGAAGCGGCTATAGGTTGACGAACGGGAAATTGTAATTAGGTGTATACAATAAATCCTTCTTCTATGAAACAAAGTATTTAAAAATGGTTTCAACATATACAACAATAACAAGGTTAACACCCCGCAGAAAAAAGAAGCAATAACAAGGTTAACAGATCAAGCGTGAAAGAACACAATGATAAAATCACTTTGCAAATAAACTATTACAACAACAAAAATTGCGAGTAACTATTTCAAAATATTAGCCACATGCGACACATAGAAAAAATCATAGGTAGTTGCAACATGTCCAAACAACCGATGCAACATCAAAGAGTTTTAAAAAATGGCCAACACCACCGTCATTGTCAGTCAGTTGCCTTGCTGCCAGACTATCGCCGTCGATGGATCTAACGGCGCACAACAACTCGCCATGGCATTTTACGTATAGTATACTAGTCTATGTACCCACAAAAAGAAAAAATACAAGTGTATGTAGTGCAGCAAGGAGCCAACGGCTACGGCTTGTCGTGGTATACTACTAGTACTACTGTAGCGCAACGATGCGGTAGCGACCCGTGTGGAAAGGGAAGAGAAGCAGACCAAAAACAGAAAGGAAAAAATGGGCAAGGTGGGCAGCCCGGGGACCAGGCACATGCGTGGCACAAACCCCGCGCATGCGCTGGGATCGAGCCCTCGGAGATCGGACGGCGCGGCGTGAGAAATCAGTCGGTGGAGTGGAGTAGGAGTAGGAACGTTCCCCGTATTTTTCATATGATGATTACAATATATAATTAGACCAACTTGCTTTGCTTTGGAAGCGTTTGGTCTTTGGCCAAAAATGCTACACTTACGGCACTCTAGTACGGACTGGCTTCACGGACTGCTCTCTCGCCAATCAACCCTTTTGATTTTCGCTGGTGGGACCTCTCATCCTTAATCTTCTCCAACCATAACTCTTCCGTGCGTCTGTAACCGAAATTCTGCGGAAATACGTCCGTAAGTCTAGCATCTCTGGGTCTTTGGCGCTGGCTGGCTGCTGACTTCCCACCTACCGTTGCATGCGAGAGATTAGGAGGATCCATTTCTTTTCTGATCCCATGTTATGTCACCGTGCATCGCGGGCGGTAGAGAAAGGTATTATCCACCTAACCTAATATTCCGTACCAAACCCAGCCCGATTTGTATTTGACCCATTTGGTGCCACCAGCTTCTATTTTTCTCCTCTTTCTCTCTTTCGGAACGGGAACGGAACACGATTGGTTCGTGGTTGGTGGGTGATGGCGCACTGTCATTTTCCTGCTGGTGTGGTTTTAAAATTCGGCAACCGGGGAAAGCGCCACACGAGCAGCCGCCACCGGCCGCGCCAGCAGGCAGCACCGCGTCCCCCTCCCTCTCCTACAAACAGCGACGACCGAGCGAGCGGTTCGACCCACCATCTCGTCTTCCGTCTCCCGCTTCTCTTCCTCCTCTCGCCCGCCCCGCGTGGAACCGAGCGACCCACAGACACCCAAGGAGCGGCCGGCATGGGGAGAAGGGAGGCGCTCGCGGTTCTCCTCGCGGTCGTAGTCCTCGCGGCGTCGGCGGCCGGGGAGGCGGGCGCGGCCAAGGCCAAGGGGAAGGCCAAGGGGAAGTACCGGGCGCTGTTCAACTTCGGGGACTCGCTGGCCGACGCCGGCAACCTCATCGCCAACGGCGTGCCGGACATCCTCGCCACCGCCAGGCTGCCCTACGGCCAGACCTACTTCGGCAAGCCCACCGGCCGCTGCTCCGACGGCCGCCTCGTCATCGACCACCTGGGTGAGTTGACTGACTGACTGCCGTGTTTGATTTTGGTTTGGCTGCTTGCTTCCTCTGCCTCCGAGATTCGGTGGGTCCTGTCCTGACGCGCTTGCTCGATCGGCCACCGCAACTGCAGCGCAGGAATTCGGGCTGCCCCTGCTGCCGCCGTCCAAGGCCAATCGCTCCGACTTGAGTCACGGCGCCAACTTCGCCATCACCGGCGCCACCGCGCTCGACACGCCCTACTTCGAGGCCAGGGGCCTCGGCGCCGTCGTCTGGAACTCCGGCGCCCTCATGACCCAAATCCAGTGGTTCCGTGACCTCAAGCCTTTCTTCTGCAACGGCACCAAGGGTAAACAAACGTCAAAAGCAATCGCGCCTTTGCAGCCATATACGTGCTGGATTGTGATCAACTAATTGGTGATTTGGGAATGTTTCTGCAGAGGAATGCAAGGAGTTCTATGCCAACTCGCTGTTCGTCGTCGGCGAGTTCGGTGGGAACGACTACAACGCGCCCCTGTTCGCCGGGAAGGGCCTCTCAGAGGCGTACAAGTTCATGCCGGATGTCATCCAGGGCATCTCCGATGGCGTCGAGGTAGCCATTGCTTCTTCCTTGTTACTCACATATCTGTTTCCTCGCTGTCAACCACGATTCCTCATGTACGGCATGGTGCAGGAATTGATCGCCGAGGGGGCAGTGGATCTCATCGTGCCAGGGGTGATGCCCACTGGGTGCTTCCCCGTGTACCTGAACATGCTCGACATGCCAGCCCACGAGTATGGCGCCCGGAGCGGGTGCATCCGTCAGTACAACACCTTCTCATGGGTGCACAATGCACACCTCAAGAGAGCACTCGAGAAGCTCCGGCCCAAGCACCCCAATGTGCGGATCATATATGGCGACTACTACACGCCAGTTGTCCAGTTCATGCTCCAGCCTGAGAAGTTTGGTTAGTTCTCAAACACCTCGACTTTTGCCATAGCTAACTCACGAAGCATCAGAATTTAGTGATTTACAAATTGTTCCGGTTGTAGTATGCATATGTTGTTGCTGATGTGCTACTAATTACTGTGGATGGATCTTAATTACTAGTGTGCATGTGCTTATTTTTGTCTGGTGTAAAGTCAACTGTTAGGCAGTCAGCGATTTCCTTCCGTTCGCCTTGAAAGGAACACAATACTATAAATAATTAGACTGTTCAGATCTGGGCAGAGAGCAAGAGATGCTTTCGCGTGGATTGGAGCACATAGCATATAATACAAAAATGGCCAACACAACTTGCAGCCAGAATATCAACTCAAGCACCTTCACCCATGTTCAGAGTATATTAGAAGCAAAGGTTGCTAATCCGATGCTCTAGGATCATTTATCTAGTCTGTAAAGGGGAAGTACTAGCTATCACTTCAATTAGTACTTCAAAGCTCGTCCAATTGGTAGCTGTCTTGTTTAGTGGTCATGTGGGGCTAATAGTTGGGATGGTTAGATCATCTACTCCAATCAGAACTTACACAACCTGCCCGTACTCCCACCTAGGCTAAAGGACTCACGTTTTTTGCATTTAGTGTTCTAGTACAGTAAAATGCTGGCGTATGAGTTGTACAGGTTACTGTAATATCCTTATAACCTTAACTCAAAACGCATATGTACTCCATGAACTGTAAACACGTGTTTTTTTTTTTTGTATCAGAAAATCACTTCCTTTTTATTGTGTATACTTCTCCCAATGTATGCCTTCACCTATTGGCAATTAACCTTCGTTATGATTTATGCTTGTATCTTTCACTTACTAGTTTTCTCTTTTCGAAGAAGATCTTCATTAGTTTAGAGTACTGGATGGTAGCGCATTTTGTCAATACATGACTACATGTCCCTGCCATATCTAGATCCCATGTACTCGTCCCCTAGAGTTTCCATTTCAGTGTTGCCTTGTAACAGAAAGTACACCCTGTACTTTCTCAGGGCATGCATGCCTTTGCCAACCTGATCTTGCTGGCAGGGATGATGTTTCTGTCTCAACTACTAAATCGGAAGTATGCGGATGCTTTATTGTTTGATGAGAATGGCACAATGCAGGGGCCTAACCATTTCCTCTTTATAATTCAGGATTCTACAAGCAGTTACCTAGGGCATGCTGTGGGGCTCCTGGGTCCGTTGCCAAAGCCGCTTACAACTTCAACGTGACAGCCAAATGCGGGGAGCCTGGTGCCACCGCTTGTGCTGACCCAACCACCCACTGGAGCTGGGACGGTATTCACTTGACGGAGGCTGCTTATGGGCATATCGCCAGGGGCTGGCTATATGGCCCTTTTGCAGACCAACCGATTGTTCAGTCCTCGTGAGCATTCCACCTCTGCTGTTGCACGTGTAGAGCGTCTGAGAATACCACACTAAACTGGACAAGGGAAAGTAGTTCTTCCATATAGTCCCAATGGTTCATACGTGTATATTTTCATTTGATTGAATTCATTGCAAGTGGGGTACAAAGGTGAAATAGGGGATACCAAAACCATGATTTGTTTTATCTGCGAGGTGGTATAAATGTAAAATGTAATGAACATCACGATTACCAATCAATATTGCCTCTGCGAAATATGATACTGATAGAATTTTGGAGTACTTCTGGCTTTCTCATGTGTGCATTCTTGCATACAAACTAGCATCAATCTTGTGCTTTGCTGCGACGAGATGTTTCTCTCATGTTAATTGTTATGAATTATCAAGGAAAATGGTCCGGTTAACATTGTTCATTTGTTTCGCAAAAAAACATCATTCATTTGTTATGTAGTACTATGGTTTTGAAGAATGTTACAGTATGTTACCAGGATTACGTGATCACGCTCTATCTCCTTCTCAAGCTCCAAAGCACGTTTCCTATATAGCAGCTCCACACTCTTTGGATCTCGAAGGAAAATGAACTACGAAAGAACACGACGTGTTCATTCTTCTCTGCTGCGGTCATTATTTCTCGGACGCCACACAGCCGTTCTCCTATTAATGAGGTGAAGATCATGCTCAAGAGTGAGTTTGAGATGAAGTATTTGGGTATGGACATCCGCCTTGACAGGTCTTTAGGTAGGCTTCATCTCTCACTTTTTTTTTTGGAAAAAAAGGATAGACCCCCGGCCTCTGCATTTAAACGATGCATGCGGCCATTTTATTAATTATTTACGGAGGCCATACAAAGTAATACATCAGTCAGCCTAAAGCCACCATCTAGGCAACACCCGTTGCTACTCCTATCCCATTGATGAAGGTGTGCCGAATATCCAGGTCTAATACCAAACGGACATCGCACCAAACCCTAACATCTAAACCTGGATGCCCCAGCCCATCCACACACCGGGACTGGGTCCATACCGGACCGATGCACTCTCAAAGACTGCCGCCGCCATCTTCCACCGGTCCATCTCCAGAGCAGAAACTGACCCATCGACCTTTCCTGGCCCGCCGTCGACGCCACCACGACGCCAGACAACTCCATCATCATGCACGTCCGTCCACACACGCCCGTCGACGAACCTCCACAGCACCATGCCACCGGGATCCGCCGTCGGCCTTGCGGTGGATGCGGCACCGTTCTTCCGCTTGTCCTGCCCAACTAGCACTTGCTCCAAAACAATGCCCTCGGGAGGGACAACGACATCAAAGGTACCATCATCGTCCGATCCGGTAGATCCGGATCTAGGGTTTTCCCTGGAGTATCACGAGTGGGGTGCCACGACCTACAACAACGATGCCTCGAGAAGGGAACGACGTCATAGATGCCGCCATCGTCCTCCATGACCGAAGTCGGCGCGATTTCACCGGAAGTTGCGTCCCCCAACCTCGCAGCTGGATGGAACCGAACGGAGCCTCGCCGTGGCGACGAGGGCCGCCATCGGCACGCCGGCAAGGAAATATGCCCTAGAGGCAATACTAAAGTTGTTATTTCCTTATATCATGATAAATGTTTATTATTCATGCTAGAATTGTATTAACCGAAAACTTGATACATGTGTGGATACATAGGCAAAACATCGTGTCCCTAGTAAGTCTCTACTAGACTAGCTTGTTAATCAAAGATGGTTAAGTTTCCTAACCATAGACATGTGTTGTCATTTGATGAACGGGATCACATCATTAGGAGAATGATGTGATGGACAAGACCCATCCATTAGCTTAGCATATTGATCGTTCAGTTCTATTGCTATTGCTTTCTTCATGTCAAATATATATTCCTTCGACTATGAGATTATGCAACTTACGGATACCAGAGGAATACCTTGTGTGCTATCAAACGTCACAACGTAACTGGGTGATTATAAAGATGCTCTATAGGTATCTCCAAAGATGTTTGTTGGGTTGGCATAGATCGAGATTGGGATTTTTCACTCCGAGTATCGGAAAGGTATCTCTGGGCCCACTCGGTAATACACATCATAAGAAGCCTTGCAAGCAAAGTGACTAATGAGTTAGTTGCGGGATGATGTATTACGGAACGATTAAAGAGACTTGCCGGTAATGATATTGAACTAGGTATGAAGATACCGACGATCGAATCTCGGGCAAGTAACATACCGATGGACAAAGGGAATAATGTATGCTGTCATAACGGTTCGACCGATAAAGATCTTCGTAGAATATGTAGGAGCCAATATGAGCATCCAGGTTCCGCTATTGGTTATTGACCAGAGAGGTGTCCCAGTCATGTCTACATACTTCTCGAACCCGTAGGGTCCGCACGCTTAACATTCGATGACGATTCTGTATTATATGAGTTATGTGATTTGGTGAACTAATGTTGTCGGATGAGATCACAGACATGACGAGAGTCTCGAAATGGTCGAGAGGTAAAGATTGATATGTAGGACGATAGTATTCGGACACCGGAAGTGTTCCGGAGGGTACCAGGTACATATCGGGTCACCGGAAGGGATTCCGGATACCCCCGACAAAAGATATGGGGCTAATAGGCCAAGAGGGGAAACACAACAGCCAGCACGAGCTGCCGCGCCCCCCATATGGGCCGCACCTGAGGGGAAGGAAAGAGGGGAAGAGAGAAGGAGGAGGGAGGGATTCGTCCTCCCCCTTCCTTCCCTCGTCCCTCCTCCTTCCTTTCCCCTCCGGAAAACATGGTAAGGGGGGAGGGGGCAAATTGGACAGGCCCCAAGTAGAATTCCTCCTACTTGGGGTGCCCCAAGGCTGTCCCCCTTCCCCTCCCATCTATATATACGTGGGGAGGGGGCGCCTATAATACACACCAACAATTGTTAGCCGTGTGCAGTGCCCCCCTCCACGGTTTACGCCTTCGGTCATATCTTCGTAGTGCTTAGGCGAAGCCCTGCGTGGATCACTTCACCATCACCGTCACCATGCCATCGTGTTGACGGAACTCATCTTCTTAATTGACACTTTTGCTGGATCAAGAGGACGAGGGACGTCATCGAGCTGAACATGTGCAGAACTCGGAGGTACCGTACGTTCGGCGCTTGACCGGTCGGATCTAGAAGAAGTTCGACTACATAAACCGCGTTGTCAAACGCTTCCGCTTTCGGTCTACGAGGGTATGTTGACACACTCTACCCCTCTCGTTGCTATGCATCTCCTAGATAGATCTTGCGTGAGTGTAGGATTTTTTTTGAAAATTGCATGCTACATTTCCCAACACTGAGGTGTAGGGTAAGTGAGTAAATGTAAAAAGGTTCAACGTCGCTTTCACATGTCACAGGCAAATCCAATTTTACTCCTTTTACATCACATTTTAATCTGTTTACTTCATGGGGCCCTTCAAATAAAGAGGAAGAGTACATGTCTAAAATTCCTTATGATTGTACAGTTGGCAGCTTGCTGTATGCTACGGTTTGCACATGTCTAAATTGCTCAAGCGGTTATTGCAGTGAGCCGTTTTATGTCAAGGCCGAGCAAAGAATACTAGAAGGTTGTACAATGGATCGCCGGGTACCTTCGTGGCACAAGTAAATACACATTGATGTTTGATCAAAGAGTAGTAAATTTAAGAAATATGCCCTAGAGGCAATAATACTGTATTATTATATTTCCATTTTCATAATTAAGAGTTTATATTTCATGCTATAACTGCTATGATTCTAGAATATGTGATTCAATGGAAAACTCATATGCACGTGTGAGATGATT